GTGTATTTTTTTTGGTAAAGTATTTTATGTATATTTTAATAAATAAACATTCTTGTTTTAAAATTTTAGCATTTGAAGGTTAAGGTCATTCGGCTTGTTGACAATAATTGATCTCTTGAATATTACCGAAATTAAAATTAAATTACGTGGCACATTCTTAAATTTTAAAATAACAATGGGTACATCTATGAGTAACCTAAATGTCGAAAGTGAAGACATGCACGAGGATTATATTAAACTACTCAGATGCCTGACTTTGTATTATTCAAATGATTACATTATATTCCACTGCTGTAATAAAGCATTCTTATTCTTGCTAGCTAATCATGATAGAATGTACTATGTGTCCCCTTATTCTTGATCAACCCATAGCACTTCAATATATATATATATATATATATATATATATAAAACTGGCACCTGATGATCTGCACATGAAAATGAAAGCCAAAATGGGATGGAAGTCAGACATTAAAACAGAGAAGAAGAACAAAATAAACTATTACGAGGCAAGCAGCTGATTAATTAATTAGGATCTCTTGGCATTTTGGAGTAAGGTTACTTCGCAAGAAGGATGATAAATTAAAAGGCTGAATATGTATAGGCACTTAAATTACTACAAAATTCTTTATACATATAGCAAACATTTGAAAGTTGATTCATTTATATTACAACCCAAACCTATATATGTGTGTGTGTGTGTCAATAACTTGTTTGAAAATTCATTTTCATATGTCATGTTCAAATTAAACTAATAACAAGCATAAAATTTAGCCTTCACGAAAAACTCATGAAAGATTTAATTTGGAGCTTGTATTGGAAACCAAGAACTTATTAATAAATATTAAAAGTAACACATCACTCATGAGTTTTTCCCACTGAAGAGGATGATTTATATGAATAAATAAAGGAGTAAATGTGTGTGTGTGTGGGGTTGTGTGTGTGAATTACCTGAAAATGAAATTGAAAAGAGTCAACGACGGGAACGGACATCCTGACCCTTAGGGATATTAGTGGGAGGTTTTATATTGTTGGGACCCTGTGTCTGACTGCCATCAGAAGGTGGGGGACGGACAGTCTGACCATTAGGAACGTCAGTGGAAGGTCTTATATTGTTGGGAGAATTCATGCTGCTCCTTCTTCTTCTTCTTCTTCTTCTTCTTCTTCAAGAGATTGCTTGTAATTTGATAATCAGATTGCTAGCTAGGGTTTGCAGTATTGAAACTCATGAATCAGATATGCGTATGTGTGTGGGTATATATACTATTCAGTCAAGGTATCATATGATCCATGTTGGTTGATGAAAAGTGTGAGAAAGTTAAGGAAATGGGAATAATGAGGTAATTAACCAAGTGATTGTTGGGGAAATTTATATGCAAATACATGATCAATTACTGCCTAGCACTCTGAACTTACGTTTCGGAATTGAACTTTGAAACTTACATGTGCGATTAAGGTTAATATTGCGGGTCGTCTTAAGATGAGCCTTCTTCACCACCGTGTCTGACCACTTCAACTTCAAATCTTCACTTGCATTATGAATTACGTTAGTTTTTGAATCATATTTACAGCATACTGTAATTAATTAATCTCATGCTCGAAGTTCTTATCTATATATTTTGGGATGTTTCATGTTTATTAGCTTTTCGTTATGTGCTTGTGGCACCCCATTTAATACTCTTTCGATTTTAAATATAAGACCCTTATATAATGTATACAAGGGTCTTATATTTAGGATCAGAGGAATACTTTCCAGTTTCACTCATCAATTATAATATGATATAATTTCTCCATTATTGTATGCAAGGGTCTCATATTTAGGACCGGAGGAGTACTTTCCAGTTTCACTCATCAATTATATTATGATATAATTTCTCTGTTATTCTGTTTTATTCTCTCCCCCTGAACATGTAATTAGTTTATTTCATTTAACGTGTGAAATTCAACCTCATTCTTTGACTGTTTATTGGCAATTTATACCAAATTATTTCTCAATTCTTTTGTGGGATCACATATATGCAGCGCAAGACGCTTCATTTCATTCATGGGTGAAATTTCAGCTGTTTTTGAAAAATTCAATAGTTGAATAAATTTAAATTAGATTTGCGTGCATACTGATGAGATATATGTAACTTATTGGAAATTGGCAAGGAAGATGGCAAGCTATTCATATACGGACAAACGATATATATTCACAATATATATGTGTGTGTGTGTGTACACTGATAAGATCAAAGTTCAATTCATAATGAAATTTCATTGATTAATTTACTTAATTCAATGAAAAATCTTTATAATTAAAGGCATCAATATGGGCACGGCAAGAAAATTTATCTCGCACTATATATCAGAAGAGGATTTACGCGCATTTTCTTTAATAAATTACGAGATATTGCTGGCCTATCTCCTGATATTGTTTTATAGCGTTGGCAAAAAATATATAAATTGTTTTATAGCATTCGAATTTTGCCCGCATTTTTATTCGATTTTTTCAGCCCTCATTTATGGAACACACACATTGAATCATATGTAACAAACCTACGTTATTAATTAATATCTTACCATAATTAAGTCTCTAATCAAACTGCTCATGTTTTGGTCTATTAATACAACGAATTGAATTATATTCCCTTTCGTCTCTCTCTAATCCTTTTAAGAATATTTTACCAAACCTCTGAACTTTTCTTCTCAATTCTGATTAAGTTGGCCCATCCATTCTTCATATATTCATTCATGTTTTTAAAATAATTGACTTCTTGCTTCCTTCTTCCTTTTTTATTTCTAGGTTCTATTTTATTTTCCTTCTCCAGTGCTTTCATGATCTCCCATGAACATAGAATTGACCTAATTAGTTTTTTCCCGTTTAACATGAAATTGAACTTCAGTCTTTGACTCTTTTTGTTAGCTATTCAATTCTAAATTTACTACATTTTTCCCCTTTCGTGCCGAATTATGCCGTGCAAGATGCTTCGTTCCATTTGAGGTGAAATTTATGCTGTTTTTCTTTTTAATTCAACTTGAACTTTGCTCAGACTTTGCTTACATTTTATTGGGGAATCGTTTACGATTTTTTTTCCTAGGCACATATATCATATAGGAAGCAATCATGTTCAAAGCATTAAATATGGGCACTTCTCTCAGTAAAAATCACACTTTGATTCTTCATATTATGAGAAACTAGTTTCTTCTATTAGACCTATCTCTGTTAATGCTAGTAATTTGTTCAAAGGTAAAGAAAACTTGGATTCATATATTAGTAATTTAGTAGCCTCCTAAACATTTCCCAACTATTAAGGAAGCTTGTTTAAAAAAAATTGATAAACATGTGAAATAGGTATATAAGACTAGTATTAATTTTCCAATTAGATCCTACATTAAAACCTAAATGAGTATATTTTAAAATTGGAGTATATAATTTTGTTATTTAAATCAACCTTCACACTTTCCAAACATTGAATTTAATTTGATGTGACGTAATGCTGATATGGTAACGAAATATTAATTACCTGATGTTACAATTACTTGCAAATAATAAAGAAAGTGGTCCAAATTAGGTTTTCCTAATGTGAAACATATTCTCAATTGAACCCATTCTTCTTCCATGAAAGACTTTGCTGAACGTAACTTTGAACCAAATACATGTGTTAGTAACATCATAAATAGGCAATAGTGCAGTAATAATCTGATTATAATAATAAATTCCGGCTATTATGTTTATATTGTCCATTTATCAACTCTCTTCTCAACCATTGGATCGGAGAATATTGAGAGGCCTCATTTCATGTGAAGTAGTCCAATATTGACTTCCCACGCATAACTAAATTTCTAGGAACGTCATAATTCTTCATTATATATTTTCATGTATGAAAAAGGACTAATGTTTTCACAAGAAGGGTTAATTATTAAATAAATGGAGCATGATATGAACAGCTTGATCGATGTCTGAATTAAAACGAATACAAAGGTTTGAACATTGAACATAGACGATTCAGATTAATTAAAGCTTGATCGTGTGGGTCCCAATTCTTGTTCAACATATAAAATCTTCACCATGTGTGATGACTTCAAACTTCCCGGACCGTGGAATATTGAATCATACAGGGAAGTGTAATTTACGGGTGTTTTCTTTTTATCTTTATTTTTTCGTCTTATATATATATTCAAGTTAATTAAATGTAAAATTTAAGTAATATACTAGTTAGTTGGATCTAATCAACCTACACTTTTCTCAACTCTTCTTTCATTAAATACGAACATAGTACTGAAAAACGCATGACCTTAATTAACTTCTGTTGAAATTCAAGGTATCTTCATTTATTTTTTTAAAAAAAATTTAAGAATTTAGGTGTAATCTTGGTCGTTGCCAAAGGTCAACTAGATTTCATACAAATGTATAGCGTACCGTACTCCATTTTTCAATCAACAAAAAAAAAAAATCAAGGCCAACTAAAATCTTGAATTATGAAACATGTTTGCAAGGGGAAAATGACATATAGGTCCAAGTTAGGATACAAAATGGCACTTTGAAGCATTGGAATTTTAAAATAACGCATTTTGGATCCAATAATGCACACGCAAAAATTTTCCCTTTCTCTCCGCCAAATTGGTGAAACAAGGAAAGCCCAACAAATTAAATCACCTATATTAATAATGGACATCGATTTTTAGATGTAGGAAGGGGTGGTTGATATATAAATTTGCAGAGGAAATTATATTTTAATTTCTTAAATGATTTATGAAAACACAGCGTGCGGAATTAATCTACATATGTGGCTTACTATTGTTATGCGTATTTTAACAAATAAGCATTCTTGTTTTGATAATTTGGGATTTGAAGATTAAGGTCATATCATGCCACTTGTTTACAATAATTTATCTCTTGAATTTTACCGAAATTTAAATTAAATTACGCAGCACATTCATTAATTTTAATAATGTAATAGCAATGGTTAGTTACTTCTAAGAGTACATGTCAAGAGTGAAGACATGCACGAAGGTGAAACTACTCAGACACTTGACTTTGTATATTATTTATGGGAAGCAACAAGAACAACAAATCATTTCTAGACGCAAAACAAAACCAAAAAAAAAAAGTTGAATAATATTTCTAATAGTATTCTTATTCTTCCTAGCTATGTAATTACGATAGAACTGCGCTATAATATTTTGCTTCCCTTATTCTTTTATCAAGACCGGCACTTGATGATCATCTGCAAGAAAATAAAAACCAGAATGAGATTGAAGGCAGACATTAATACTAAAAAGATGAATAACAACATTGTTACAAGACATGGCTGATTTATGAAATAAAAGGTAATAAGTATCCATATGAGCAAAGTTTTGTCTCAACTTACATAAAAATACTTATAAGTATTTAAGATAATCAGATATAAACAAGATTTAATTAGGATCTCTTCGCACTTTGGAGTAAGGTTAATTAGAAGAAGGATGTGAATCCAAAAAGGCTGTTTATATAGGCACTTAAATTACTACAAAATTCTTTAATAATATACGGATATGTGAAAGTTAATTCATTTATTACAACGCAAACTCTGTGTGTGTGAAGGACCTATTTTTCATACGTCATGTTCAAATTAAATTTAAGAACCTAATAATAAGAATCAAATTTAGCCTTCATGGCAAGCTCATCATGAAGATTTGATTTGGAGGTCTTGAATTTGAAACCAAGAATTTGATTCAAAAAATTAAATGAACGCATAATTCATCAGTTTTTCCTAATGGAAAGAATGATTTATATGAATAAGGAAAGGAATAAATGTAGATGAACCTGAAAATGAAATGAAGAGAGTCATGGTGCTCGACCAGGGGGGGACCTGACATCTTGACCCTTAGGGATTGAAGTGCCGCCTCTTATGTTGGAGCCCTGAGTCTGAGTGCCAGATGCTGTAGGGTTTCCCTGATTTGGGCTGAAGATACCCTTATTATCAGGAACTGATGTGCCATTTCTTATATTATTGGAGTCCTGTGGTCGAGAGCTCATACTACTCCTTCCTTCACAAAGCTAAGCTGCTTCTTCTTCTTCAAAAAATTGCTTATAATTTGATGAGCAAATGGCTAGGGTTTGCTGTGAAACCCATCAGATACCTGGATTTATATGCATATATGGCGAGTCAAGCTAGGTATCCATGTTTGTTGATGAAAAGTGTGGGAAAATTAAAGGAAATGGGTATATATGATGAGGTAATTAATAATCAAGTGATTGTTGAGGAAGTCTACGTGTCAATTACTACTGTCTAACGCTTTGAAACTTACGGAGGCTAATTTGAAAAACAAAGTAAGGTCATTAATATACTAACTTTGATTCTTGATATAAGAGCTAGTTGGAGATTTAATTTAGTTTTAAATATAAGATCTCAATCAATTTTGTCTCTAATATTTATTCATTTTATTTCCAAATAATTTATATGGTAATTGCACTTGTTAAAGAGTCTCTAACATGATTGATAAGGATATTTCAGGAAAGACAATATCATTTTATTACTAATAATTAACTTAATTAATTTTTTAATATTCATAAGTTAATTATCTAATTCTTACATTAAAGATCAAAGGTAGTTTTATAACATTCTGGTTTAGTGCATGCGGTATCCCATTAAACATTTTTCAGTTGGACTGATCAATTTTTGTTCATATTTTAACAAAATTGATTTCTTTCTTCCGTTTTAATTTTGCCTCTATTGATCTCTCGCATGAACACGGAACAAGTTTCTTTATGTCGACGTGAAATTCTAGCTTAACCTGCGACTCTTTTATTGGCAATTTACACAAAATTTCTCTCAAATTTTCCTGGTAATGATTATTGAATTTTATATGCCGCACAAGATGGATTCGTTGCATTTCTAGGTGAAATTTAACCTGGTTTTTTTCCTCTAAAAAAAAATCAAGTTCCATGGCGAATGCATAGATTATGATACTTAACTGAAACCAACAACGTAACTGAAACCAACAACGTCATTACAAAATTATTTTTTCTGTTTGAAAGTTGAATGAATTTGAATTAGGTTTGCGTATATACTGAAATTGGCAAGATATTCAAATATAGACAACTATTCAACACTTTGCTCTAAGCTGAAATTAATTGCAAAACACTTCGTCGGTGAAATATTTACAACGCACAATATATGGATGCAGATAAAGCCAAAGTTTAACTAACTATCGTAATGAAATTCCGTTAGCTAATTTAGCAATGTTAGCTCATCATATTCATTACTTTGGGCTTTGGGAGTTTTTGTTTTCTGGTTTTCATTTTCTTTCCGGAACCGGCCTTTTCTTCCTTCGACCGATTCACGTTAGCAATGGCATTGTGGGCTCAAATTTTGGGCCGAAATTGATATCTTTTGTTCCTTGGAAATCCACTTGCGATCTCTCTGGGACGTTTTCCCACCAAGTTTTGACCATCGGACTTTTATTCTTTCGTCTGTTTCTGGCATTTTTATGTATGATTTATAAGAGGTAATATGATGGGCTTTCTATTAACCTATTATTCTTCCAGGAAATTAATTCTTAATTTCTGATATCATTTCATGTACCAAAGTGGAAGGTTCACTTGGAGTTATTTCTGATATCGTGTTCTGGGTTTGTTGCAATTTCTATTAGCTTCCTGGCGAAACTATTTTGGGCTTACTGCATTTTATTTGGGATTGTGCTCTGTTTTGGGTTATGTCATTAGGGCCAGCTTCATATTCAAGAAATGATTTGGGCTAATTTGTTTTTTTGTCCAGGAATCTGTTTTACTTTTACGTGTGGTTTATTTTATGTGCCATTTTGGTTGTTTAAATACCCCGGGGGGGGGGGGGAATTAATTTTGGCTGCTTTAACTTACCAGAAAATTTTGAAAACTTTATTTTGTGTGTTATTTATCACCGTGTTACACTAAAGATACCCCTTTTCTTGCAAATAAAAATTACGGCAATTTTCCATCGATGCTCGCTAACCGCACAAGAATGACGCAACGTAACGTGTCGACTATTTGATGATACATCGTGATTGATGAAGATTTAAAATCATCCTTTCAGTTTGCAATATGTAAAAGTAATTTTGATAAATTTGTCATTTTCTGCGTAAAAGTAGCCCTTGTGCCCTTTTATGTTTTAAACACTTCAACTTGAAATATAATGATTCAAACTCAAAGGAATATGCGCAGAAATAAAGCATCTAGAATTCAGACACCAATATATACTTAGCAGTAAACATATAACCACAAGCTAAAAGACTCTGTAGTTTTTTTTGAGTCATGTTCTTAAGACTTAAGTGAAGGTTCCCTTAGCTTCTCTCAGTATATATTGAAGTCATAAATAATGCGTTCAATATCTAGAGCTAGGCGATAGATATTCAAAATACGGAACCCAGAGGCTAATAATTATCTTTATGTTTATGGAACCAAACTAAACAAGGACATCAAATTAAGTCAAGCCCAGACGCAAAACACATGATGTTTCATCTCTGCTAGCTTGAATATAACATTATTGCCCTACACGCACGCACGCTTGTATTCCTCCTAACGAAGCCATTTCACTTCAATATCTCTGGAACTTTACCGACCACAATCTGCATCAAAATGACATTGGGAATTAGCATACAATCTAATAAAGAGATTGCCATTATTTAATAAAACGGATGAGAAATAAAAATGGTTCTTGTCTTCAGTTAAATTCTCTAATATATTTTGACCACAAAACAGGTAATACCGAGTACTTAAAAGAGGCTCGTCGGAACTCATATGTCGAAAAATACCATTGAAGCCATGTCTTTCCAGTGCAGAGGGGTATACGTATATGTTATATTAGAAGAAAACGCAAGAGTGTAATGAAACTGATAAGTGTATGAAAAAGGGATCATGGTCTCTTGTAAAAGGTGTTATGGGTGGTTGGGATTGGAGTGGGACTTCCTAAAGAAGTGATAGAGATGAGAGTGTGAGGATGGAGCATTTGCTACGGTGTAGGTATTTGACTGATTAATTTTTACTCATATTATTCACATGTAGGGTACTATTTTCAATGGTAAATGAAGAAAGAAAAAGCAAGAGTAATGAACCTGACAAGAAAGGATGGATTTGTTTGGGTGGAGTGTTTGGATGCTAAAAGGATTGGTAGTGGTGAGGGTGGTTAATAATTTGGACACAAAATACATATATCTACAGCTTATCCCAGTCCTCAAGCCAAGCGCTAGTGCAGGTACGGAGCACTTAACCTCACAGTAAAGTACCACCACCGGTTCTAATTATAAGAACCAGTTGACTAATTTGAGGAGATTAAAAAAATAAGTTGAGTTAGTTATTTATCCTAAATAGATATTGTCTTCCTAAAATATCCTTGCTAATCAGGTGTATTAACTAGAATTATAATTATTAGAAGGATTATCTTAGAAAAAATTGAGTAAATATGAGAGACAAAGTGGATTAGGATCTTATATTTAGGATCAAAATAAAAGTTAAATAGGATCTTATATTAAGGACCGGAGGTAGTATATAACGATGTATGTCTTATGGTTGAACTGAGAGTAAAAGATGAGAGAAGCTGAGGTGGACTATGTCTTTTGTTGTTGGGAGGAGGAGGGAATGGAAGAAGTGGCTTATAACCCTTGGTGCCTTAATTAATAACCTAAGCAGATTAAAGTCTCCAGAATGGAAGACAAGACTATTAAAATAGAAGTAGATATGAATTACCTGATAATGAAATGAGACTCACGGAGGAGTTGGCCTTGGTGAGGTGGAAAAAATGTCCTGGGGACCAGGGATGGAAGGGCCTGGAGGTCTCGGAGGGTTCTGAGTCGGAGGAGTTGGCCTTGGTGTGGTGGAGAAGATGTCCTGGGGACCAGGGATGGAAGGACCTGGAGGTCTCGGAGGGTTCTGAGTCGGGGGAGGTGGCTTTGATTTGGAGAAAATAGCCATGGCATCAGGGATTTGAGTCCCTAAAGGTCCTGGAGGATTAGGGGGCTGAGAAGAACTCATAATGCTGCTGAAGAGAGTGATGAGAAGGGAGAGGGATATAGGATTTAATTTGATGAGGATTGTGTGCTTTTATAGAGAGGGAGAGACAGAGATGGGCTATGAAGAAGGTCAGTTTGGGACGCAAAGTCATGGCTACCCTCTTTAATCCATTGAACAAACTGAAAATGATCCCTCTCTAAGTAATAGATAAGAGCAATCGCTCCGATGATTTAATTATTCCCAGGAGAAGATTCATTCTTTTCCTTTAGATCTATGAAAGACAGAGGGCGATAGGGTTTAATTTGATTTGAATATGATGGAGCTTGGTGAGGGAGAAAGGGAAGGGCAGATGCAGATTATGTTGTCCGCTATAGGGATATACAGACTTCACTTTTTCTTCATTTTTCTTTTATTTATTTCTCATTTCCTTTACGATTTGCCGACCACCAAAATATAATCAAATCAAATTAACCAACCGCACGGGATTATGCGCATTACACAGAATCGCATTGGTAAGGAAAATGGACCATCTTACGTGTGTATATGTTAATTACTGTCTAAACTTACGTTGGAAGTGAACTTTTCGAAAAGGCGATTGAGATTAGTAGTCTTCTTCGACTTCATATATACGGTATTATGATAATAAACTGAAGCCATGTGTAAACAAGGCCTCGCCTTCACTCGGAAAGCTAACCAATAAATAATTATATTGGTCAACCGAAATGTTCAGACTATAAATGGGATGAGAAAAGTTAAAACTGAGCAATAGGAAGGATTGGAGATTGAAAACTAGAAATTTGCATTACACAAACTTCATATTTATTTCCAAAATCTCTATCCCCCTTGCTAATTGAAGTTCAACTGCCCTTAATTGTCGCTTTGGGGTTACTCCAAAAATTAACCGAATTAATGCAATATAGTGCACAATCCGGGTCGTTTCACTTTGAGGAGCCGAAAACGAAATTAAACCCTAGTAAATGAATGCAAGTAACCTAAACTATAAAAAGAGATTTTTGATTTTGAAAAGCTGTTAATTAAATACTACGAATCAAATTAGAATTAAAATACTTTTTTTTTGTTATTTTCTTTTATATAAAA